ACAGGTGACCTCGTTCACTGTGCACGGGTGCGCGTGGTAGCAAGAGCGCAGCAGGCAGGTCGACGTGCGATTCAGGTCTACTCTCCTTTTGTTGCTCAATCGCTCCTCTTCCCCAACCAGCAGCGTGGAGGGCGATCACTGTGCCGATAAGGACGTCAAATGACAGGAGCAAGCCCAACATGCGGAGGTGTCACGAGCGCACAACCTGATGAAGCCCAACCGCTGGCACTGCATCGCTAGGCTGGCGCAGTTCCACTCAAGCTCCTTCTGGTGTTGCTCTTTTTCTCTCCCATTCTGTCTTGTTCCCTCTTGTTCCCTTTCCAGCAACGTTGAGGGCGATCACTGCGGGGACAAGGACACGCGGTGCCAGGAGAGGGCACAACAGGGGGAGATCTCCAGAGCGCACAACCTGATGAAGCCCAACCGCTGGCGCTGCATCGCAAGGCTGGCGCAGTTCCACTCAAGCTCCTCCTGGTGTTGCTCTTTTTCTCTCCCATTCTGTCTTGTTCCCTCTTGTTCCCTTTCCAGCAACGTTGAGGGCGATCACTGCGGGGACAAGGACACGCGGTGCCAGGAGAGGGCACAACAGGCGGAGATCTCCAGAGCGCACAACCTGATGAAGCCCAACCGCTGGCGCTGCATCGCCAGGCTGGCGCAGTTCCTGCGCGTCAAGAAGGCTGCTGCCGGCGGCTTTCCCAACGCTACAGCCGCCGCTGCTGCCTGGTTTGCCAGCGCTACAGCCGGCACTGCTGGGCTGGCCAATACACCCAAACCTCCTCTAATGAAAGCCAATCCTCCTCTGACTAAATCAACGGCGGGCATGGCAGTCAATGCTGCCACTGCCAATGTGACTGTCACCTCCAAAGCTACAGCCACCGCACCAGCACCTGCATCCCTCGCTGCTCCCCCCAGTGCTGCTGTTCCATCTCCCTCCGCCCTCCCCTCCGCCCCATCCCCACATTCAGAATCTGCACCTCCCTCTGCTGCTGCTCCTTCACCTTCTCCTCATTCTAATGATACCACGGCCATATCCTCTTTATTGGCTGCTTCGAGTACGAAGCGTCGCCTGCTACAATATTCGCAGCGGCCAGGGAGGTTGAATAGGAAGAGAAAGCTTCAGCAGAGGAGAAGGTTGCAGGAATGGACGGTCGAAGATTCAAATCTTGTGGCCTCGATTGTGCCACCTGGCGGGCCTTCGGCCTCTCATTTAGGCCACCTGCGGATATTTGTCGCTACAGATACAGATATTATCCGATCGCAAGTGGTGGAGATTTTACGACCATTTGGAGAGGTGTATTTTTCAGTTTCGCCTGCGGTTCATTTGTCAAAAACGGGTGGCAGTCATCTGGCAACGCTGGCTGATTTTGTGCTTCTTGGCAAAGGGGCGGTATTGGCAAGCTTCACTCGATATATTAGCACTTTTGCGCTATTTGCAGGCATGTTGGGTAACGGGACGCTTGTAGCTGATCCTGCATCAGACCATACCTGCCGCTTCGTTGTGGAGCATATGGGAGAATTGTCTTCTTGAAATGGATTAATGGATTCGTCTTTCATGTTGTAGTTTCGACTTTTCATGTTGTAGTTTCATGGATTCTAATGAGGATCCCGCCACTATCGCGTATTTCTCAAAGCAAGGTACACCCATGTCGGTCAAGAACGCCAGAATCCTTTCACTCATGAACTTACAATCGTCGTATACCGTTTCGCCGATACCCAGCTTGTTTGTTCGAAAACCTTGAAGAGTAACGCAATTCCCAGTGAACCCCCAACCGATATTCCGCAGCATACCAAAGCGAGGGAGCCACGCGTGGCAATTCGCAACTGTGCGAATTCCACCATGCGAAATATTTCTGGGGGTTCGTGGATTTCGGAGCCAGTTCGCAGTTTCAACACAATCGAGGTGAGAGGGCTTGGTCTGCACATGGTCTGCTGATCGTTCAATACGGTTTGGTAGGCTTATATACGACGAACAGCGGTTTCTGCTCTTGATCAGATTACATGTGTAGTTTGGGCAACCCGCATTGCAATATCTGCTGTCAGTCAGTCACTAGAGCATTTGCATATTTGTTTTCTAATGGCGTGTGTGATTTTTTTTGGGGTTCGTATAATAGGTCGAACTTTAGGAGGTAACCAGTTTCGTCAATGTTCGCAAAAGACTTCGCCAATGGTGACTCCGATTTCAAGAGTACCAGGTGCGAACCTACAAATGTGAACAAGATTCGAATATATGCACAAAGTTTGTGTTGCACACTGAACCGAACGTGTGTGGTTTCAGGCACGTACGAGGAACCAATGAAACTCGCTAAGTTTTCGTGCACCAATGGAGGCACATCCGAGACCCGTAGCAGAGTCCCCCGCTCGCGAATCTTTCGTCCCCGGCACTTTTTTTAGCAGCGATTCGTTGACGTGTCGCGCTGTCAAGAAGACAATACCAGGTAACCTACGCACCCTATAGGCGGCTCGGTTCCTCCCCTGTAATCTCGAACCTGCAAATTCGCACTTTCGTGTGTGATTGTGAATCTACAATCATTGTCACCTGCGGTTTGAACATTGCCAATGCTCAAAGTCGAGTCATGTTCAAATCGAGTAAAAAACATAAACTTATGGCAAAATCAAAAATCACACACGCCCTAATTGTTAGGCAGTGTTGTAGGAGCGACGTCGTGGTTGTAACCTCTAGAGCGTCCAACCTCGTTCCATAAGCTTCCATAAGTCTGTAAGTTGTCCTGAGAATGCATGCTAATCTTTCGTAGAAGCATTCGTTCAGCGCACCTTCTTTACCTTCCTTATGTCCAGTTTCCGTATCACTTAGCGGCGGAACGGCACAGGAATCGTGCTCGCGATAAGCAAGGCTTGATTCTAACGGAATTCTGGGCGTGTAACCTGGTGCGGAAGACAATAGGAAAGGGTGTAAAAAGGAGCTCTTTTGAATGACGACGGAACCAGGTCAGTAAAATTCATCAGAATTAGTACAGCAGCCTATGCATTCTCAATTCGATTTTTCTCTGGTGGTTTTGTATTTTTCGGATGGCCTTTTTGGGGTGTTATCTCGTTCAGTGGTGTTGTGTCATTTTGTTTTTAACTAGTCGTTAGAACCACGCCTGGGTTATCTTGTGAAATGTCCAAAACTAAACACAGCCCTATTGGTTTTCCAATACCAGGTAGTTGCTTGGGTTCTCTGACGGAATCTGCAGTGTCATCAGCTTTTTCTATCTATGCAAACGCTCCATTCTTCGCACTCGTGCCGCTTCTAGCATAGCTTCTAAAGGAATCAACCGGATAGCACCCATACTCCCCCCACCCCTTCGTTTTCCCTTTCTCTCCCTCTTCCCCTTTCCTTGCCTTTCCCCTCTCTCCTCTTCCAGATGCTCCCCTCCATCAACGACAAGCTTTGAAATCCACTCTATGAGGCAACTAACTTTCTCGTGTCCGAGTATTTCTTCACAATAAAAAGGCAAAAAACTCAAACTCGTCCCTCTTCTCTGCTTCATCCGGACTCTTCTCACCCCACCCCACTCCTCCCCCTCTCCCCTCCCCTCCCCCCACCACGTTTCCGCCCACGTACGACCCATGCATCCTTTCCCACGTACGACCCATGCATCCTTTCCCACGTACGACCCATGCATCCTTTCCCACGTTCCAGATGCTTCCCACCCCACACATGGCCCATACTTCTAAGGATTCGCAGAAGTGACACCACAAGCTAATCATGCATGACCCAGACCCAGCCATGCCTCCTCTACAAACCATTGCTGCAGTTACAAAGTGCTCTGACCCAGACACGCCGATCCAAGAAACTTGCATCCTCGATCTACATGATGACGTCATCGTCAACGTCTTCCGTCGCCTTCCAGGAAGGCGCGGGAATTTCGCCCACGCTCTCGTATGCCGCCACTGGTGCCGCCTCGCGTATGAAGCCCTCGTTTCAATCACATTTGAGCAGGACCGACGCTGCCGAATCCTCCTTTCTCTCCTCAACTTCCCGAACCTAGCTTCCCTAACCTTTCCCGATAACTCTCTGGCTTGGACTTCAGATACGATTTTGGAGACGGTCTCAGTGTACTGCCCGAACCTGAGGGAGCTTCGGATAGGGCACCAAGGCTACGGGGCCACGTTCGGAGAGGCAGGACTGAAGGCGATTTTTCGCGGCTGCCCGAAGCTGGAACTGTTAACTTTTGAGAGCTTAAACCGCTCGCCAGTGGCAATCCCAGTAGAACTTGGGCAGGCGAAAAAACTTAAGCTGCTGAAGATAGGAAAATGGGAGAACGGATTCTGGGATGATTCTAACCTGGAAAGTATGCCCGAAACGCTGGGCAGCCTGACAGAACTTTCTGAGCTGACCATCGCTAGCGACAAACTTTCTCACCTGCCCGACGTTTTTGGCCCACTGGCAGGCTCCCTCAGTTCAGTGCGCATCCGTTCAATGGAACTTTCTTCCCTGCCCGTGTCAATGTTTCTGCTAACTTCCCTGACTAGTTTGGAGCTTGAATGCATGGTTCTGTCGAAGCTGCCTGAAGCCATCTATTCTCTTTCTGCCCTGACCAGCTTGACACTCTCTTGCTGCGGAACTTTGACCCACCTGCCAGAGACTCTGGGCAGCTTGCCGCAACTCACACACCTCAAACTTCACTCCTGCCGGTTTCTTTCCGGGCTGCCCGCATCAGCAACCGCACTTTCCTCCCTAGAGTCCCTCACCATTTCCCGCTGTGCTTCTTTTTCTACCCTTCCCAAGTTCTTCGGGCGGCTGAAATCTCTCCGCACCCTGCACCTGGATGTCTTTGAAAGTTTTGAGTCGCTGCCCGAATCAATGGGCGATCTGCAAAAGCTGGAAAAGGTTTTCCTATCAGCCCCGGGCATCAAATCTCTCCCAAATTCGTTTGGACGGTTGAGATCTCTCCGAGAGCTTGAGATGGAGGGCTGCGAGAAGCTCTGGTACATCCCATCATCATTTGGGCAGCTTTCGAATCTTCGGGTCCTGCGGATCATCCAGTGCCCGATGCTCAGTAGTCTGCCCGGAACTTGCGGGCAGCTTTTTGGGCTGGAGGAATTTGTGGTGGGAGAATGTGGGCACTTTCACGTGCCCCCAGCACTATCAAGCATTGTGACGTTTGAAAGCCCGATCTTCTCGCTGCTGCAGATTTAGAGGAGTCGGTGTTTGGTGGAAGGACGTGGCTTCAATCTCAGGTGAGTGAATGCTAAGTCGTTTTGTGCGTGCGTGCGTGCGTGCGTGCGTGCGTGCCTGTGCGTGCGTGCGTGCCTGTGCGTGCGTGCGTGCGTGCGTGCGTGCGTGCGTGCGTGCGTGCGTGCGTGCGTGCGTGCGTGCGCGCGCGCGTGTGTGTGTGTGTGTGCTTCATCTCATTTAACAAACCCCTGCATTGATGTTTTTGCATATGTTCTGATGCACTTTTTCTTTTTAGCTGCTGCATATAATTCCCTCCCTCTCTCTCTTTCAGTTAGTCCCATCCCATTCCCCCTCGCCACGTGTCCACTTACAGGAACCAGTCCCTGCTGTGTTACCAGCACCACTGCTGCTGTCACCGTAGAAATTGGCAGCACCAGCACCACCAGCAGCATCACCAGCAGCAGCAGCATCACCAGCAGCAGCAGCAGCAGCAGCAGCAGCAGCAGCAGCAGCAGCAGCAGCAGCAGCAGCAGCAGCAGCAGCAGCAGCAGCAGCAGCAGCAGCAGCAGCAGCAGCAGCAGCAGCAGCGGCAACAGCACCAGCAGCAGCACCACCTGCAGCACCAGCAGCAGCACCAGCAGCAGCAGCAGCAGCAGCAGCAGCATCAGCAGCACCACCACCACCAGCAGTACCAGCAGCAGTACCAGCAGCAGCAGCACCAGCAGCACCACCACCACCAGAAGCAGCAGCAGCACCAGCAGCACCAGCAGTAGCACCACCACTGCTGCTGTCAGAATGGAGACGAAGTGATGACTCATAGCCCACGTGTTCACTTACAGAAACCAGTCTCTGCAGTGTTACCAGCACCACTGCTGCTGTCACCCTGAACTTGGCAGCACCAGAAGCAGCAGCAGTAGCACCACCACTGCTGCTGTCAGCATGGAAACGAGGTGATGACTCATAGCCCATGTGTCCACGTATAGGAACCAGTCCCTGCAGTGTTACCAGCACCACTGCTGCTGTCACCATACAAATTGGCAGCAGCAGCAGCAATGGCATCATCACCAGCACCAGCACCAGCAGCAACGCCACCAGCACCAGCACCAGCAGCAACGCCACCAACACCAACACCAGCACCAACACCAACACCAACACCAGCACCAGCACCAGCACCAGCACCACTGACACCACCACCACCACCACCACCACCACCACCACCACCACCACCACCACCACCAGCTGCAGCATCAACACAGCACCTGCACCATCAGCAGCAGCAATACCAGCATGAGCTTTTCTGGCGAGTGCTCACCTTGTTGGCTGCTCCAACAAGAGCTGAAGGACTGATGGGATCAAGAAAGAACAGTACCGTAACTCATGTTTTTTCAACCCGAATGTTTCGATAGCATAGAAAATCAATCAGAAGCCTCCAGCAGCGTTACAACTGCGCACCAGTTGAGCCTTGGTACTGATGCTAAGTGCAAGAAATATCTGAGGACAGTTTCCATTTAAAGCAGGTACGGTACTATTGAGATGAGGAGCTAGCTTAGGAAGTGGGAGTTAGGAGCTTGGAGCATGGCGATGGTATCAAGATGAAGGAATTGGCCAAAGGGGGGTTTCAATATGGAGTTGGGAGTACAAATAGGAACAAGAGGAAAGGAAAAGGGTACACCACCAGCAGTTGGTATATAATAACTAACCTAGTACACTAGCTAACTGTAGGCAGTTATAAGGCATGCAAATACAATTCAACAGGTCCACCATATTCCAGATGCGCACAAGAATGCGGACAATACACCACTAATATCTTGAAAATGCAGGAGTTCAGCTAGGTAAAGGCTTGAGAGCATGGCCTGTTTTAACAGAGCGTGTTCCTACGCCCTCATATCAGGTCAACTCATATCGGACTCTGTAAGGAAAATTCCTTTTCCTTGCTTTGCGTCCCTGCTCAGCACGTACACCACTGTTCCCGCCAACAGCACCCCACAATATTCCGTTACCACTCGCGACATTCGCCTCGACACCATTCCCGCCACTGTTCACGATGCGACCCAACCTCACGGTTCGGTTGGTAACCCGCGCTCCGGACCTCCGCCTCGACAATCCCCAACCTCGGCACCAGGCCCGTCGCGCACCCCAAATTCCCACGTTACCGTTACCACCATAGCTTCGCTAAATATTCTTCGCTCAATCCTTCGCTCATTGTATTCTTTGCCTCGATAGTGCAATCTTCGCTCGATCACTCAATTGCACTTGTAACACTTGGTTATCAGAGCCTACGATCTTCTCTCGGACCGCACCCACACCTTCGCTTCCCACTATCTCATTTTTTTGGGGGGGCTAGACGTCCCTCAGCGACCAAGCACCGCCGCTCGTAGTGCTCTCTCGTAAGCACGCACGGCCACGACCGAGGCTCTCGCTCAGCTCGCCCGACACCCCCGCCATGGCAGAAATTAATGTCGCGACACTGACGCAAGAACAACTCGACATGTCTCATACGCCAACTTGAAGATTCGGCCCTCGAAATCGCCACACTCACGGCGGAACGCGACTCCGCTCGACAGCAATCGACAGTGAATGCCCCAGCACCCACAAATGCACCTGCACAATCTGAGGAGTTGATCATTATCTCGTCAGGCACACCGACTCAGAACGACAGCGTGGGACAGCGCTCAGGCGTAGCCAGTGAGGGCGCCGCTCACTCAATGCCTGGCATGGAGAGGAACAGGGAGGGCCGCACCAAGCCCCCGGGAGCCCCGTGAAGCCCGTCGGCACGTGGAATTCGCAACGACAAGTGGCGAATACGCCGTCACGGCACCAATGCCACTCAAGCCTCAGCGCGCGCCCTGTTTCAACCCGAGCCAACGTGGAGGTCCGACGGTTCAATCGTGGGTCTTCACGATGAATGTTTTCTTCGACGTGAACTACGTCGAGTCGGACGCAGCGAAGATTCGCTACGATGTTTCGCTGCTGAGGGGCCTTGCCATGGACTGGTGGCGAGTCATCGTGACGTCGCCATGCGCCTACGAGCCACCGTCGCAAGAAGACGGGCCCATGGGCCCAGCCGTCACCTGGAGTTCATTCTGCGAGACAGCCCAGTATAGCACGTGGGATGCGCGGTGCGCAGGGCTTCTGGCGCCTTCCGAGCCGATCGCGGCTTCGATTTCAGCGCGCCAGAAGCTGCGCACTTGGCGGCAGCTCGGATCGGTTCAAGACTACACGAGCGGATTTCTCGCATTATGCGAGCAAGTCGGCTATATGCACGAAGCGGAGCGGGTGGACCGTTACGTCGGAGGGCTAAAGCCGGTCATCTCGCACAAAATTATGCAACGCGGGCTCTCGAATTTCAACGAGATCCTCGCGCTCGCCGAGAAAATCGACATCCTACGACGACCGAGACCGGGGTCCTATTACGGACAACGTCCTCGGGGACCGATCGAGCACGCACCGTACATGCCGTTGCGACAAATGCAGCTGCCGCACCGTTTAAGGGGCACTGCTTTGTGTGCAATAGGCCGGGCCATCGCAAGAGTGAATGTCCAGAGGAGCTAAGGCGCCGTGGAACAGAGCAGGGGCGAGAGTCTCAGAGGCCGGGAAACGCAAGCAGTCAGTAGAAGTTGGGCCAACTACTGACGAGACTGCCTGCTCGCCCAACTTCACCGACCCTCACCGAGTCACAGTACCAATTTACGCTATCAATCGGGCTCGGACGAATAAGGAGGGTACAGCGACGGATTGCCCGGTACTGATTCACGGGAAAATACAGGGAGCAGCAGTGAAGATTTTTATAGACAGAGGCGCAAGCCACAGTTTATTTAACACCGCGACTGCGAGGAAGTTGCGACTGGCACTTAGTCGGTGTTTACCGGAGATCGATGCACGTCTAGTTGACGGAACGCCGCTGGCCATACGGGAAAAAGTGGAGAGAGTAAAAGTCCGCTGTGGGGGAAACTTCGGGTTTACACAAGAAATGCTCGCGACGACATTGGATGGGCACGACATATTACTGGGACGTGATTGGCTGCGACGGTACAATCCGCGAATCGACTGGACGACGGGTAGCTGCACTGTGCGAAGTAGCGGTAACTGGGTTGAACTACCTCGCTGGCAGTCGCCTGAGTCTTCGACGGTCCACGTCAACGCCATCACGATGAAACGGGGTGTCGCCGCTGGAGCTGACGTGTACGCGGTAGATATCGCAATAGTGGAAGAAGCAGAACAGCCGAGCGATTTTCAGAAGCTACTGGCGGCAGTACCACCCGAACTACAGGGACTGTTGCAACAATTCCCGGGGATTTTTCCCGACGACTTATCGGAGGGACTGCCACCTCGGCGGGCGCACGACCACCGAATAGAACTAGAACCCGGGGCAAAGCCAACCGTACAGCGACAGTTCAAGCTGACACTGCCCGAGCTCGACGAGTTAAGGAAGCAGTTAGATTACCTGTTAGAGAAGAAATTCATCTGACCGAACTCGTCACCGTTCGCCGCACCGATCCTATTCACACCGAAAAAGGAGGGAGGATTTCGCATGTGCATCGACTACAGAGCACTGAACAGGGTTACAGTCAAATCGCGATATCCCATCCCCCGCGCCGACGAACTGATAGATCAACTGCGAACAGCGAGAGTCTTTTCGAAAATCGACTTACGAGGGGGTTACCATCAGATTTGGGTCGAACCATCGGACTGCGCCAAAACGGCATTTCGGACTAGGTACGGGTCATTCGAGTACACGGTGATGCCCTTCAGGCTGACCAACGCACCGGCGACATTTCAGATGACTCTGAATGAGGCGTTTAGACCACTCTTAGATAAATGTGTGATCGTTTACCTCGACGACATTCTCGTCTACAGTCGTGACAAGCAGCAGCACTTCTGATTTAGAATCAGTATTTACAGTTTTAGACAAGCACAGACTACTGACCAAGGGTTCCAAGTGCGAGTTTTTTCAGGATAGGCTAGAGTTTTTGGGGCACGTTATTTCCGAGGCTAGAGTAGAAATCGACCCGAAGAAACTGGACACGGTGAAAGCGTGGAATCCCCCTACGAACATCACAGAGCTGCAAAGTTTCTTAGGGTTTGTTAATTACATGCGTCGGTTCGTCCCCGACATGGCACGCTTAACTGCCCCACTGACGGATTTACTGCGGAAGGGGGTCACTTTTACGTGGGGGGAGAGAGAGCATGCTGCCTTCTCTGCCCTGAAAAATGTTATCTGTTCACCGCCCGTCCTGCGCATCGCCGACCCACACCGCCCATTCGAAGTGGTTACCGATGCAAGCGACATCGCCATTGGAGCCGTACTGCTACAGGACTTCGGCAACGGATTACAGCCCACCGCAAACGAATCACGAAAGTTGCATCCGCCCGAGAAAAAATACCCAATACACGATCGCGAAATGCTTGCGATCGTGCATGTGTTCAAAGTGTGGCGCTGTTACTTGACCGGCGCCGACGTGACAGTACGGACAGACCACAAATCTCTACAGTACCTCCGCGCACAACCCCACCTCAACCCACGACAAATCCGCTGGCTCGACTACCTCGAATCGAATTTTCACTACACGGTCACCTACAAAAAGGGGGCATCGAACATCGCCGACGCATTAACCCGGCCCACAGCCCAAGTCCACGCCATACTACTCGTCCAGACCAGCCCACTGCTAACAGGCCTATTTACCCACTGTTATCAGACTGATCCATTTTTTACAGGCGGAAATTCGCAGCTGTTTGCAGCGGCAAGAGGAGTCTATTACGTAAAAGCCGGCACCGATCGCATCTGGGTACCGGGCTATACACTTCTACGGGAATTACTATTACAAGGGGTACACGACGGAGTCACCTCAAGCCATTTCGGAGTAGAAAAAACACGGCAGCAGCTGCAGCGGTACTACTATTGGCCCAAAATGTTGACCGACGTGCAACGACACGTGGCATGGTGTCCCACCTGCCAAGTCATGAAATCA